CTCCCCGGACCCCGCATTCACTATATCCGCTCTCCCCGGACCCGCATTCACTATATCCGCTCTCCCCGGACCCCGCATTCACTATATCCGCTCTCCCCGGACCTGCATTCACTATATCCGCTCTCCCCGGACCCCGCATTCACTATTCCGCTCTCCCGGACCCCGCATTTCACTATATCGCTCTCCCGGACCCCGCATTCACTATATCCGCTCTCCCCTGGGACCCTGCATTCACTATATCCCGCCTCTCCCGGACCCGCATTCACTATATCCGCTCCCCGGACCCCGCATTCACTATATCCGCTCTCCCCGGACCCTGCATTCACTATATCCGCTCTCCCCGGACCCCTGCATTTACTATATCCGGTCTCCCCGGACCCTGCATTCACTATATCCGCTCTCCCCGGACCCCTGCATTCACTATATCCGCTCCCCGGACCCACATTCACTATATCCACTCTCCCCGGACCTTGCATTCACTATATCCGCTCTCCCGGACCCTGCATTCACTATATCTGGTCTCCCTGGACCCCGCATTCACTATATCCGCTCTCCCGGACCCCGCATTCACTATGTATGGTCTCCCCGGACCCCGCATTCACTAAATTCGCTCTCCCCGGACCCGCATTCACTATATCCGCTCTCCCGGACCCCGCATTTCACTATTTCCTGCTCTCCCCGGACCCGCATTCACTATATTCGCTCTCCCGGACCCCGCATTCACTATATCTCCGTCTCCCGGACCCCGCATTCACTATATCCGGTCTCCCTGGACCCCGCATTCACTATATCCGCTCTCCCGGACCCTGCATTCACTATATCCGCTCTCCCCGGACCCAGCATTCACTACTAAATCCGCTCTCCCCGGACCCCGCATTCACTATATCCGCTCTCTCCCGGACCCCGCATTCACTATATCCGCTCTGGGACCCCCCGTGACCCCGCATTCACTATATCTGCTCTCCCCGGACCCCGCATTCACTATATCTGCTCTCCCCGGACCCCGCATTCACTATATCCGCTCTCCCGGACCCCGCATTCACTATATCTGCTCTCCCCGGACCCTGCATTCGCTATATCCTGCTCTCCCCGGACCCTGCATTCGCTATATCCGGTCTCCCCGGACCCTGCATTCGCTATATCCGCTCTCCCCGGACCCTGCATTCACTATATCCGCTCTCCCCGGACCCCGCATTCACTATATCCGCTCTCCCCGGACCCCGCATTCACTATATCCGCTCTCCCCGGACCCCGCATTCACTATATCCGCTCTCCCCGGACCCCGCATTCACTATATTCCCGCTCTCCCCGGACCCCGCATTCACTATATCCGCTCTCCCCGGACCCCGCATTCACTATATCCGCTCTCCCCGGACCCCGCATTCACTATATCCGCTCTCCCCGGACCCCGCATTCACTATATCCGCTCTCCCCGGACCCTGCATTCGCTATATCCGCTCACCCCGGACCCTGCATTCACTATATCCGCTCTCCCGGACCCCGCATTCACTATATCCGCTCTCCCCGGACCCTGCATTCACTATATCCGCTCTCCCGGACCCTGCATTCACTATATCGCTCTCCCCGGACCCTGCATTCACTATATCCGCTCTCCCCGGACCCTGCATTCACTATATCCGCTCTCCCGGACCCGGCATTCACTATCTCCGCTCTCTCCCCGGACCCTGCATTCACTATATCCGCTCTCCCAGACCCCGCATTCACTATATCCGCTCTCCCCGGACCCCGCATTCACTATATCCGCTCTCCCGGACCCCGCATTCACTATATCCGCTCTCCCGGACCCCGCATTCACTATATCCGCTCTCCCCGGACCCCGCATTCACTATATCCGCTCTCCCCGGACCCCGCATTCACTATATCCGCTCTCCCCGGACCCCGCATTCACTATATCCGCTCTCCCCGGACCCTGCATTCACTATATCCGCTCTCCCCGGACCCCGCATTCACTATATCCGCTCTCCCCGGACCCGCATTCACTATATCGCTCTCCCCGGACCCCGCATTCACTATATCCGCTCTCCCCGGACCCCGCATTCACTATATCATGCTCTCCCCGGACCCGGCATTCACTATATCCGCTCTCCCCGGACCCCGCATTCACTATATCCGCTCTCCCCGGACCCCGCATTCACTATATCCGCTCTCCCCGGACCCCCGCATTCACTATATCCGCTCTCCCCGGACCCCGCATTCACTATATCCGCTCTCCCCGGACCCCGCATTCACTATATCCGGTCTCCCCGGACCCCGCATTCACTATATCCGCTCTCCCCGGACCCCGCATTCACTATATCCGCTCTCCCCGGACCCCGCATTCACTATATCCGCTCTCCCCGGACCCCCGCATTCACTATATCCGCTCTCCCCGGACCCCGCATTCACTATATCCGCTCTCCCGGACCCCGCATTCACTATATCCGCTCTCCCCGGACCCCGCATTCACTATATCCGCTCTCCCCGGACCCCGCATTCACTATATCCGCTCTCCCCGGACCCCGCATTCACTATTCCGCTCTCCCCGGACCCCGCAGTCACTATATCCGCTCTCCCCGGACCCCGCATTCACTATATCCGCGTCTCCCGGACCCCGCATTCACTATATCCGCTCTCCCGGACCCCGCATTCACTATATCCGCTCTCCCCGGACCCCGCATTCACTATATCCCTCTCTCCCGGACCCCGCATTCACTATATCCGCTCTCCCCGGGACCCGCATGCATTCACTATATCCGCTCTCCCCGGACCCCGCAGTCACTATATCCGCTCTCCCCGGACCCCGCATTCACTATATCCGCTCTCTCTCCCGGACCCCGCATTCACTATATATCCGCTCTCCCCGGACCCCGCATTCACTATATCCGCTCTCCCCCGGACCCCGCATTCACTATATCCTCTCTCCCGGACCCCGCATTCACTATATCCGTCTCCCCGGACCCCGCATTCACTATATCCCTCTCTCCCCGGACCCCGCATTCACTATAATCCGCTCTCCCCGGACCCCGCATTCACTATATCCGGTCCGCTCTCCCCGGACCCTGCATTCACTATATCCGCTCTCCCCGGACCCCGTACCCGCGCATTCACTATATCCGCTCTCCCCGGACCCCGCATTCACTATATCCGCTCTCCCCGGACCCCGCATTCACTATATCCGTCTCCCCGGACCCCGCATTCACTATATCCGCTCTCCCCGGACCCCGCATTCACTATATCTCGCTCTCCCGGACCCCGCTTCACTATGTCCGCTCTCCCCGGACCCCGCATTCACTATATCCGCTCTCCCCGGACCCCGCATTCACTATGTCCGCTTTCCCGGACCTCCGCATTCACTATGTCCGCTCTCCCCGGACCCGCATTCACTATGTCCGCTCTTCCCCGGACCCCGCATTCACTATATCCGCTCTCCCCCGGACCCCGCATTCACTATGTCCGCTCTCCCCGGACCCCGCATTCACTATGTCCGCTCTCCCCGGACCCCGCATTCACTATATCCGCTCTTCCTTGTTTCTAGTTTAGCTTTAAAATGTCAAAGGGTAATTTTTGAGATGTCCCCACCCTTCCACCCCAGTAGCTCCACCCTTCTCTTTCTCTAACAGGTTTAAGCATTCCTGAACACAGCTGACTGGAAAGGGCCCAAAGAGTCTAAAGATCTCATCAACAGAGAAGTCCAATGAAAGCCCCCCCCCCCCCCCCCCGCTCCACCATAACAGGTGAGGAATCAGGGCTCCTTTCAACTAATCACTAAACTGGAAGTCCATTTATGTACACATTGTGAGTCTAGTATGTTGGGTTTTTTGTTTGTTTGTTTGTTTTCGGGGGGGGGGGGGGGGGGGGGTGTTATGTGCCTATAACATTTTAGAAGGACATTTTTTTGTGTGTTGTTCAGTAAGGTATACAAGTAAGGTTGCGAAATGAAGTTGCAGCTACCAATATCCTTTCAGAAGTTTCCTTGTGCAGGATGGCTGGTCTTGGCTCCGCCCCCCTCCTGTAAACGAGACCGCTCACTGCTGCTCTCTCTTCCTTGTGCAGGATGGCTGGTCTTGTCTCCGCCCCCCTCCTGTAAACGAGACCGCTCACTGCTGCTCTCTCTCCTTATGCAGGGTGACTGGTCTTGTCTCCCGCCCCCTCCTGTAATAAAGACCGCTCACACTGCTGCTCTCTCTCCTTTATGCAGGGTGACTGGTCTTGTCTCCGCCCCCCCCTCCTGTAATAAAGACCGCTCACTGCTGCTCCCTCTCCTTATACAGGGGACGGTCTTGTCTCCGCCCCCCTCCTGTAATAAAGACCGCTCACTGCTGCTCCCTCTCCTTATACAGGTTGACCGGTCTTGTCTCCGCCCCCTCCTGTAATAAATGACTGGTCTTGTCTCCGCCCCCTCCTGTAATAGAGACCGCTCACTGCTGCTCTCTCTCTCCTTATGCAGGATGACTGGTCTTGTCTCCGCCCCCCTCCTGTAATAGAGACCGCTCACTGCTGCTCTCTCTCCTTGTGCAGGGGACTGGTCTTGTCCGCCCCCTCCTGTAATAAAGACCGCTCACTGCTGCTCCCTCTCCTTATACAGGGGGACCGGTCTTGTCTCCGCCCCCTCCTGTAATAAATGACTGGTCTTGTCTCCGCCCCCTCCTGTAATAGAGACCGCTCACTGCTGCTCTCTCTCCTTATGCAGGATGACTGGTCTTGTCTCCTCCCCCCCTCCTGTAATAGAGACCGCTCACTGCTGCTCTCTCTCCTTGTGCAGGGTGACTGGTCTTGTTTCCGCCCCCTCCTGTAATAAAGACCGCTCGCTGCTGCTGCTCTCTCTCCTTGATCAGGGTGACCGGTCTTGACTCTGCCCCCTCCTGTAATAGAGACCGCTCGCTGCTGCTCTCTTCCTTGTGCAGGGTGACTGGTCTTGTCTCCCGCCCCCTCCTGTAATAAAGACCGCTCACTGTTGCTCCCTCTCCTTGTGCAGGGTGACTGGTCTTGTCTCCGCCCCCCTCCTGTATTAAAGACCGCTCACTGCTGCTCTCTCTCCTTATGCAGGATGACTTGTGTTGTCTCCGCCCCCTCCTGTAATAAAAGACCGCTCACTGCTGCTCTCTCTCCTTAAACAGGGTGACTGATCTTGTCTCCGCCCCCCCTCCTGTAATACAGACCGCTCACTGCTGCTCTCTCTCCTTAAACAGGGTGACTGTCTTGTCTCCGCCCCCCTCCTGTAATAGAGACCGCTCACTGCTGCTTAAACACTGGTCTTGCTGCTCTGTAATCTCACTGCTGCTCTCTCTCCTTGTGCAGGGGGACTGGTCTTGTCTCCGCCCCCCTCCTGTAATAAAGACCGCTCACTGCTGCTCTCTCTCCTTGTACAGGGTGACTGGTCTTGTCTCCACCCCCCTCCTGTAATAAAGACCGCTCACTGCTGCTCCCTCTCCTTGTGCAGGGGGACTGGTCTTGTCTCCGCCCCCCTCCTGTAATTTTCTGCAGGCAGCCTGTAGTGGGTTGGGCCTGCTGGGTCCCTCCCACATCTCTGCTCTCTACGCAGGCTATGTACAATACAGTGATGATGTCACTGCTACTTTTAACAGATGTAGCACCCTTTAGAGCTGCTGGTTTTGGGTCCCCCCATTTCCTTCATGGCCAGGCAACACACATTTTCCAGCTTTCATTCCATGTCCTTCCTCAGTGGACTGCAGGGCAATGGAGTTCCCTCTGTCTGCTTCCTTCTCCCAACCTCCAGCCTGGACCCAAAACTGAGAAACGAAAGCTTTGCTTCATCCGACTCTGGAAGGAGTTTGGAACAGAGTGAGGAAGGTTTAGGACCATGTCAAGTTTTTATTTCTGACTGCTACCCCCTAGAGGGGCGTCACCCCTGGGACTTGATTTATTATTAACTTTGCAGGGAAATGCCCAACCATCATTGGAAGATAAAAGTTGGTGCAGCTTCACTTCCTTCACTATGCAAAGGGAAAATCCCCGTGTACAGTCAGCTGCCTATGTGCCTTAAAGGACAAGTCCACCTTTGGGAACACGTTACTTGTTCTACCTGTTTTAGGGTGCAACATGTAACATGTTCCCATAGCCCCCCCCCCCCCCAACAGATAATACGGGGAGAAGTCTCAGCGGGGATGTGTGGGACTCCGCCCACATGGCCACATCGCTCATTCACAGACTTCCGTGAATGAATGAACTACAAGTCCGGACAGCCTTAGCGGCTGTGAGCTTGTAGTATTAAATGAACTACCAGTTCATGGAAGCTTCCTGTCAGAATATCTGCTTGACTGTACATCCCATACACCCCGTACATCCCATACACCCCGTACATCCCCATACACCCCGTACATCCCATACACCCCGTACATCCCCATACACCCCGTACATCCCATACACCCTGTACATTCCCTTACACCCCCCCCCACACTCTGTACATCCCATATACCCCCTTACATTCCTTACATCCTGTACATCCCCATACACCCCCTTACATCCCCATACACCCCCTTACATCCCGTACGTCCCTTACATCCTTTACATCCCCATACACACCCGTACATCCCATACACCCTGTACATTCCCTTACACCCCCCTACACTCTGTACATCCCTTACATCCACATACACCCCGTACATTCCATACACCCTGTACATTCCCTTACACCCTGTACATCCCATACACCCAGTACATCCCCATACACCCCTTACACCCCTCTACACTCTGTACATCCCATACACCCCCTTACATCCCTTACATCCTGTACATCCCCATACACCCCCTTACATCCCGTACATCCCCTCACACCCCCCTACACTCTGTACATCCCATACACCCCCTTACATCTTGTACATCCCCTTACATCCCATACACCCCCTTACATCCCGTACATCCCTTACATCCTGTACATCCCCTTACATCCCATACACCCCCTTACATCCTGTACATCCCTTACATTCTGTACATCCCCTTACACCCCCTTACACTCTGTACATCCCATACACCCCCTTACATCCCGTTCATCCCCTTACACCCCCCTACATCCCATACACCTCCTTACATCCCGTACATCCCTTACACCCCGTACATCCCTTACACCCCGTACATCCCCTTACACCCCCTTACACTCTGTACATCCTATACACCCTGTACATCCCCTTACACCCCCTTACATTCTGTACATCCCATACACCCCCTTACACCCCGTACATCCCTTACATCCCCTTACACTCTGTACATCCCATACACCCCTTTACACCCCGTATACCCCGTACATCCCCTTACATCTTGTACATCCCCTTACATCCTGTACATCCCCTTACATCCCATACATCCCTTACATCCCGTACATCCTGTACATCCCATACATCCCTTACATCTTACATCCCGTACACCCCGTACATCCCATACATCCCTTATACCTCTTACATCCCATACATCCCGTACATCCCATACATCCCATACATCCTGTACATCTAGTACATCTTGTACACCCCGTACACCTCATACATCCCCCATACACCCCGTACATTCTCGTACACCCTGTACACCTCATACACCCCATACACCCCGTACATCCTTGTACCCCATACACCTCATACACCCCGTACATCCTTGTACACCTCATACACCTCATAGACCTCATACATCCCTGTACACCCCATATATCCCGTACGGCAAGCAAATTTTGTTTTAAATTTATTTCAGGTACTTATATAGCGCCATCAATTTACGTAGCACTTTACATATATATTGTACATTCACATCAGTCCCTGCCTTCAAGGGGCGTACAATCTAAGGTCCCTAACCCTCAAGGGGCGTACAATCTAAGGTCCCTAACCCTCAAGGGGTGTACAATCTAAGGTCCCTAACCCTCAAGGGACGTACAATCTAAGGTCCCTAACCCTCAAGGGGGGTACAATCTAAGGTCCCTAACCCTCAAGGGACGTGCAATCCAAAGTCCCTAACCCTCAAGGGGTGTACAATCTAAGGTCCCTAACTCACATTCATACATACACATACTAGGGCTCCACTGTGTGTTTCAGGAACCCACCCCATGACAACAAGACAACAAATGATGGGAACGGGGGTCACTGGGGAAAGGAGGGCAAAAAACCGACGACAACCTTACCAAAGTTCCCCAACCTTACCAAGACTCCCAGGTGTGCTGGGAATTATGGCCGGGAGATCTTGCTGTTGGAGCATCCAAGACCAATAAGAATCCAGGGGCTGACTCGGCCCTCCAGGCTCCACCGAAACCTAAAATCCCACTTTTGGGTGGACTGACCCTTTCATATTATTATTATTATTATACAAGATTTATATCGCGTCAACAGTTTGCTCAGCACTGTACAATATAACAGGAGACAATACAGTTCAATACAAGAGGGATAGGAGGGCCCTGATCCTGGGAGCTTACAATCTAGGAGGAGGGGCTAGTGGTACAAAAGGTAGTAACTGTGGGGGATGGACTGGTAGGAGGAATAGAAGATTCCATTATTAGCTGAGGGCAGGATAGGCTTCCCTGAAGAGATCTGTATTCAGAGATCGCCTAAAAGTGAGCAGAGTAGGCGATAGTAGGATAAATTTGGGGTAGAGAGTTCCAGGGGATGGAGGAAGCTCTGGAGAAGTCCTGGTCATGTTCAGTGGCAGTAATGCCCACCAAATGTGACATGCTGTTTAATTCTGTGCACAGCCCTATGCACCCGCATGCTCTGGTCCAGGCAGAAGCTAAAACATAGAAGCCGATTGATTGCTATGGGCAACTGCACCAGTTCAGATTGAACTTTTCTCAGATGCTTGTTATTGATCCCCTCCCAACCCCATGAGTAGAAGGGACTGATCCTTGGAGCTTACAATCTAAGAGGGAGGGGCTGGTGGAACAACTGTGGGGGTTGAACTGATAGGAGGAATAGAAGATTCGGTGATTAGCTGAAGGCAGGATAGGCTTCCCTGAAGAGATCGGTTTTCAGAGATCGCCTAAAAGTGGGCAGAGTAGGCGATAGTCGGACAGGTTGGGGTAGAGAGTTCCAGAGGATGGGGGAGGCTCCGGAGATGAGCATGGGAGGAGGAGACAAGGGAGCTAAAAGAGCAGGAGGTGCGAAAGAGGAACAGTTTGGGCGATATTTGGAGACCAGATTAGTGATGTAGCTTGGGGCAGAGTAAGCGATAGTCGGACAGGTTGGGGTAGAGAGTTCCAGAGGATGGGGGAGGCTCTGGAGAAGTCCTGGAGACGAGCATGGGAGGGCGGAGACAAGGGAGCTAGAGAGCAGGAGGTGCGGAGAGGACGGTTTTGGGCAATATTTGGAGACCAGATTGGTGATTGTAGCTCGGGGCAGAGTAGGCATACAGTTGGACAGGTTGGGGTAGAGAGTTTCAGAGGATGGGGGAGGCTCTGGAGAACTCCTGGAGATGAGCGTGAGTGGAGAAGACAAGGGAGCTAGAGAGCAGGAGGTGTGGAGAGGATGGTATTTTTGGGCGATATTTGGAGTCCAGTTAAAACCATACACCCTTGGTGATGTAGCTCGGGGCAGAGTAGGCCATAGTAGGACAGGTTGGGGGTAGAGAGTTCCAGAGGATGTGGGGAGGCTCTGGAGAAGTCCTGGAGACGAGCATGAGTGGAGAAGACACGGGATCTAGAGAGCCGGAGGTGCGGAGAGGGCGGTTTGGTGATATTTGGAGACCAGATTGGTGATGTAGCTCGGGGGGCAGAGTAGGCTTATTTGGACAGGTTGGGGTAGAGAGTTCCAGAGGATGGGGGAGGCTCTGGAGAAGTCCTGGAGACGAGCATGAGTGGAGAAGAAACGGGATCTAGAGAGCCGGAGGTGCGGAGAGGGCGGTTTGGGTGATATTTGGAGACCAGATTGGTGATGTAGCTCGGGGCAGAGTAGGCAATATTTGGACAGGTTGGGGTAGAGAGTTCCAGAGGATGGGGGAGGCTCTGGAGAAGTCCTGGAGATGATCATAGGAGGAGGAGACAAGGGAGCTAGAGAGCAGGAGGTGCAGAGAGGATGGTTTGGTGATATTTGGAGACCAGAGTGGTGATGTAGCTCAGGGCAGAGTAGGCGATATTTGGACAGGTTAGGGTAGAGAGTTCCAGATGATAGGGAGGCTCTGGAGAAGTCCTGGAGATGATCATAGGAGGAGGAGACAAGGGAGCTAGAGAGAGCAGGAGGTGCGGAGAGGATGGTTTGGGTGATATTTGGAGATCGATTTTGGTGATGTTGCTCGGGGCAGAGTTTGGCTTTACATGTTATGTGATGTTTCTGCACATTGTTTCAGATCTTAGCAGACTTCGATTATTATTTGTTCTCTTGTGGTGAAGTGAAGTCACAAGGTAACAATGTAATTATTCGTGTCAATATTTTTGCACGATGGTTTTGCTGACTCAAACTCCTCCCAGTTTTACTTCCTTCTTTTAGTTTTGTATAAACCTTCACCCAGACTACGGAATGCAGACTACAACCTCACTGCGAACATGGAGAGATCTCCGAGACGAATCTGCGCCACCCGATTGGACAACGAGGAGAGACGGTGCCCGGTAGGTGTCATATATTCGCATAATTATCGATCTTTCCGGTTGTCTCTGATTTCCAGCAAGAGTGCGAAGATTGGTGAGCAATCCTA